AAAGTGATTGTGGGAAGCAGCCGACGGACACGGACGAAGGTCCGGAAGCACCCGTCTGGTGTGCCACAGAGCGCCGCGGAAGCCCCGAGGGGAAAGTACACAGACGAGGTAGGCTAACACGGGGCCACCAACACCATTAGTGGCAATCGCATGGGAACCTCGACAGGCGCCGAAAAGTCAGCAAAACGGATGTCACCCTGCAAGGGGTGCTCCGGAGTAGCTGATGGCGACCGGAGAGCCTATACCGGTACTAGGGAGGCGGGAGGCCCACAGGAGTCTAGCTTCGATTACTGTCCCGCCAATTGTTGTTGGACTCGAGGTGGCAGATGGAACAAGCCATGCTGGGTTAGGGGACTGTGCATCGGATCGCCCGGTTCATTGTGTAGTCCCTGCATTCAACGCTTAAGGGTTAGATAGGCCCGAACTAGGGGGTTACTCGCCTCGTTAACCCTCAGGCACCGCATCGGTGGCTTCCTGGGACCAAACCGTCTGACGGAGGGGAGACCCCAGGGAGTCCTCTTTCATACCATCATGGCTCAGCTGTGTTGGTTTGACGTGTGAATTTACCATCCGTGGTAAGGAGGTGCACGTTAAATCTCCATAAGTTGATGCTGGTAATCACCAACTGATTGAGTGTAGCGTTGCGGACGGTATTTATGAACCAGGGCCGGCATTGAATTTATCTGTACCTTTAACTACGTTTTTTTGGAAAACGGTGAACATTCGGACATACAAACATTCACTTAATTTTCATGTTTTATAGCGCTCTGTCGCCTCCTGCAAGCTCGGCACTTATTTCTGTTACACCTTGCATTTACTCAAAATGAGGCGTTGTCCAGATTAGGGTGATACGGAAAGTGTGCTTCTTGTTGGCTCTTTCTCTAAATATGTGTTTTTTCTCTTATTCTAGGGAGACAGTGGAGGTCCACTCGTATTTCTCAAAAAAAAAAAGTATTACCAAGTTGGTCTGACTAGTCATCTAGCCTTATTACCAATCTGTAGATTGAAGTACAACAATTCTGTACATACACGAGTTTCAGCGTACATTTCGTGGATTTCTAGTGTAACAGGAGTCAATTTTTTCAGACCCAAAAAGCAAAGAAATAGTAGTTGAAGTGTGAATATTGCAATTATTTGATGTTTTAGTAGTATAATGTAGTATCTTTACTATTATAATACGTATAATGTTATCCTTTATTATTATTTGAGTGAAACATCCGGCGTATTATTACTTTTTGTACTTCTCCATGATTTTACCCTTACATTTTTAATCAATCAACGTATCACAAACGAGCAACAATTTTTACTGTAAACAATTTAATTTACGTTTATGATTTACCTACCGATGATTTTCCGGTGGTGGTTTTTATTTTCAGATTTCAGAAAACAGAAAGAAAAATTGAAATCTTTATGTCAAGAACATTGTCTTTATGATATCGCTACGTAATCGATGACATAAAAAGGATAGGTAAGGTTACCCAAAATATTTAATATTATTGAAACACAAATTTAACGACAATTACAAAATTCTGCATGTTGAAGATATAGGTAGGTACAAACCCAAAGTTATTGAAAATTTTAGAAGTTAAGGCTTAATTTAAAACTATTAAACAAACTGACAATTCACCATTTACCACTATCAAATATTTATTAAGGAAGTGTGTAAGATTATGTTGTCCTTTTGTAATATTATGGTAGGCATTTCCCTTTTAAGGGGGTTGAGACCATAGAAAAGTAACAGGGAGATTTTAACGAAGCTTTGAAAATAATAAGACATATTTAAAAAAAAAACGTTTCAATATCATTAGGAGAATGTTTGACAAATATTAAATAAACACATTAAGATGAGAACTTCTTTATCTCAAGACACGTCGGGATTTTTCAAAATAACGTGACAGATACAATTTGATGAAAAGGGGATAATAAGTATACAGGGTTTAACATAAATGAGTGCGGAGCTTTGGAGGGTGTAAACTAGATGCAGTAAACAATCGCACGGTGGGTTCGGCAGGGTGTTTAGGGCAAACAACATTTTTAAGACAGTCACAGTAATTTACAATCTGAAGCCGGTCCTGTGCGTGAAATGGCAACGTAGGTGTCTCCGAATAGCAGGTACATTGACGGAAAATGTATACATTATCGATTATTTATCGAACATCTACGTGTCTAAGATAAACATAAACAATTTAGTACTGCATATAACGTGTAAACTCAATTAATTAAATAAGCACTATATAAATGTAAGAACACGAAAGAAAGAAAACAAAAAAAAATATACAACGTGTAATTATACAGCACGCTGCTGAAGTTAAACTACTTCAAACACACAAACATACCGGGATAGGGGTTAAGGAATTGGTTTAATGGTATTATTTGTACACTATCCTTCGCACTGGTGTAATGCCCATAGTGAATATACTACAGAATGTCTTCATATACAATAATCATAGCTTTTTTGTCATTAGACAATACAAACCGGCCGGTACTGTCGCAACCGCTATCTCACTGCATTTTAAGTCTGTAATATCTTCGAAAATATTCATTTAAATTACATAATGTAAAGGGCCATATTGATCTATATTAAATGCACAATGTATTTAAAAATACCTAATTGGATAAGAATTAATGCTGTATTGCTTAAAATCGCTTCGTAAATAAGCCATTATTTCTCGTAAAAAGTAAAGGATAAAAAATGGTTATGGTGGATTATCCTTAAGAGATAGACATATACCTTCGCGGATTTTTTTGTAGACCTTTTTAAGGTGTACAATACTGTAGTACATTATTTTGATCTACTTCGTAGGGTTCAGCCAGCGTTTGCTATGTAAGCGCAAAAAATGTGTTTATTTACGACTCCACATTACAAACCTCTAAAATTATCAGTGTTTCTCTACTATATTATGTATGTATTATACATATAAACCTTTCTCTTGAATTACTCTATATATTAAAAAAAACTGCATTAAAATCCGTTCCGTAGTTTTAAATATCTAAGCATACACAGGGACAGACAGTGGGTGAAATGCGTTGCATGATTTCGTTACATAGCAACTCGCATGAAATGAACTTACCCTACCGTGCGTAAAGAAGTTTCACTTCAAAAATGTGACTTACGTAAAAATATAAAAGAAATTTTGAGTGCTGTAGCACAGGTCAAAGTCCAACTCTTGCTTTCTATCATTGGGAGTCAAACTATGTTATAAATTACGGGTTCCTGTAATCTAAAGACGGACAGTATTATTGGACTGTCAAACAAATTATATATATAAAAAAAACAACCCTTGCTCTCTAACTATTGCTGTCACATACTAGATGTCGCGTCGATCGCGATTTCGATTTTACTGAATTTCTTTCAACAAAACATACAACGAGTGCTGAATGTTTTGTTCATTAAACTAACAGACAGTTAATAAATTAATAAAATTCTGCTCAGCTCTTAAAATAACAAGCACAGGGCTATGTAATATTACGTAATTAGTATCAGCAATTTCTTATGCTGAAGTGTACGAGGTGTTGCATACCTATCTACAAACAATCCTTTAAATTTAATTTTTCAAACAATTTTTAACACAAATTTTTCACAAAAGTGAATTTCGACCACTCTAAGCAATAATGCTAACAGTTTCGAGCTCACAGTGACTGATAGGGGGGAAGAATTTGTTTTATTAAAGCAAATTTCCACACTACCATTGAGGTATTGCCAAGGCGCGTTACCATTTTTGAGGGTATTAACCAAAAAAGTCAAATACGTTCCCAAAAATTTCACACGAAATAAATTTGTTTGTAAATAACACCAAATGAAGAAAATTAGACTATGCATATTAAAATATGCATAGTCTTTATTTCGAAACCACTCGCGGTTGAAAATCAATTCCGAGTAAGGCTTGCACTCGCTGCAAATGATAAGGTGCAGCAGTTGCAATAGCGACATGACCCAAACCCGTAAATAAGTATCATGTCACATTATTGTAGTTGTTTTATAGTAACATACTGACCTACACTAATCATTGATGTTGTATTGCTGAATAAGTTTATTGTGTGCACATCGATTGCCTTATACAAAGTTTAAACCAAGGTTGATAAAAATCGCAATTTTTTTTTAAAAATCAAAAATTGATATAGAACTTCACTTCAGTGCCTGAAGAAGGTAACCTTGTTACCGAAAAGTGCTTCGGACAACTACAGTGTCGTATTTTGGTGTTGGGGTGAGCTATTTTGTTTGTTCTACAACAACAGCCAAAGTTTTTTCAATCTCCATATCAAAAATTGATTATTTTTTTGAGAAATCACGATTTTTTTAATTTTTTTAGTAAATCTAATTTTGGCTTGTTTTTAAGTTTTAATTAATATAAATAGATACGTGTCAAAAATCTAATTTTTCTATCCATCGGTACCCTATGTCCTCTTTTGTGCCCCTGACAATGTGAAACAAAATTTGACGATGATCGGTTGAGGATCGGTGTGGAATTTTACCAAACAAACAAGAAAACAAACAAACACATTCGCATTTAAAATATTGGTTAGGATTTTCCTGTTTTCTTAGAATTTGGACGATTTATAGTGTACTAACTCGTACATTTAGATATAAGAAATAAACTTGGGTATTATAAAAGTTCAACAATATTTAGTTTTTCTTTACTATCTATGCTCTTTTTTTTATATTAAATTTTTGAAAGTTAGCTAAAAATTGAATTCTAAGTTAATATTTAATTGTGTATCTTGTATATTTTTCATATTAGTTGCACGGTATATTATCAATAAGTTTTTCTCGTGTCTTTAAGAGCCTTCTCGTATAGATGCTATAACGTATGTGTATTAGCCCTTCAGCTTTAAGCAAGCTTATATAATCCGGACTCTTTGTCTTTTCCTTTTTAAAGGAAATTCATCTCAAGCAACCAGTGGCTTTACTTAACTTACGACGTTTCGTCGCGTGACAAAGGTCTCATATCCTTTGGGAACGTTCCTTGATTGGATGGGCTAAATGGCTCCGGTCTGGTTTCATTTTCCGGAGCTAACCGTAGTAGAATGACCGTAGGGAAAATTGCCGGGACAAGTTTATAATTTTTTCATGGGCTACCGGGGAATTACCTGGGTAATTTAAAGCTCCACGCCAGTCAATATCGTGTCTAACGGGTAGCCACCGGGTGACTGACAGTCCTATAGAAACCAACGGCTGTCTTATTTGTTCGCAGTAAAGCGGCAGGATCCTCCAAACGTTCAGTTACCTAGCCTTTTACGAGGAACAAATTGGCTGTCTAAATTTTCCAGAAAAAGATATTGTGATCGAAATATACTAAAATATTTATTCACAGAAATGTTGAAACGAGACGATTAAATTTAATAAATATTTGAAGGGAACTCAGTAAAATAAAAAGTAAAAATGATGACGGTCTTAAAATTTACTAAATCATGCAATTTACTTTCTGAACTATAAGATCTCTATGAGTAAATGAGATAAATAAAATATAATTCCAAAACGATCGTGTCGAGGTTGTATAATGGATTTCTTAAAATATTTCAGTTAGGTATGTAATCAACTATCCTTGACAAAGCTAAAAAGTAATAATGAAGTAGTAAGTAGGTATATCATTATCAGGTAATCGGCAGTCTTAAGATTGGTTGGATACTCTTCTCCACTCTTTCCTATTCTGAGCTAAACTTCACATTTCCCTAAAATTATAACATTCCACCTCCTTAACTATTTATGAACAGTAATCTAATCTAACACCTCTACTCCTCTTAACTCCTGTTTCTGCTTCTAATATGTCTTTAACTAACCCTTCATTCCCGAGAAGGTATCATACGAAGCAATCTCGCCTATTGCTTTTTAACTCTGTTCTCCTACTCATTCCAATACCTCTTCATTTTTAATCTTCTCTATTCACGGTATCCTCATCATTCTTTTCCGAATTTCTAGATTAACGGGCCTCTCTGTTTGCTTCATGGCTCCAAAATTTCACGCTCCGGCTCGTGAAATATTGCATCTTTCCTTTTCCCTGTTGCACTTCTTGATGACATCCCCCGAGGCAGTCCACGCCCGGACATCGAAATGGGGGTCTATTTTACGTCCGGACTGCTTTAGCGCCATAATTTAAGCTTTGATGTGTTATCCTCTGGATATCATAATGTGGTATAAAGTAAACTTTTTCATAAAACGACGAGAGTTTTAGAAAATAACCAACAAATTATTGAGAATAATTGCCTTTATTAAATG